AAAAGTTATAGCATTATAAAGTTAAAAATATAAAAAAGAATTTTTTTACAAAAATCGTATTTTTTTTATAAACTTTGATGTCTGTTTTCACCGTGAAGATAAAATAAAGTCCGAAATTTTTTTTTTTGCATAATAAAGTATATTACATTAGCTTTAATTTAAGATATATATAAAAGTGTCAGACTTTCCGGAACACTTTCAAAATTTAAGTTGAAAAAGTTCTACTTTCTACATGCATTTTTTAGATTTGAACCCCCCTCGTATATAGGGAAATGGTCGGATTTAAAAAAACAGTATGTCAAATGAAAGATGTATATAAATACTACTCCTCATGAAAAAATTGTACTGATCCATGCATTTTTCAAAAAGTTATAGCATAATAAAATTAAAAATGTAAAATACAAAATCGAAAATTTTCACACAAAAATAGCATTCGATAGCCATTTTTACCGTGAAGATAAAATAAAGTCCGAAATTTTTTTTTTCCATAATAAAGCACATTACATTAGCTTTAATTTATGATATACAGAGTGGCCCACCACTCACTGACAACTTAAATAACTTTTGATCCAGTTAATATTTTTAGTTGATTTTTTTTTTAAATAATAGTTATACGTTAGGTCTATAGCTATATCTCAATAATTAATTTTTTTACATTTTATTAAAAATATTAATTATTTTTAAATTTTAAATAAAATGTAAAAAAAAAATCTAAGATAGCTATTTTGTAGAGTAGAATTTAAGAAAAATTTTAGTAAAAAAATATCTTATTAATATTCAGTAGTAAATATTCTGTAGCGTTTTGAAGTTTGTGAAAATTTGAATTTTCATGTACTATTTTACGGTATTAAACATTGAAATACGTATTGAGAAAAGGACAGAAGAAAACGCTATCTTTTCATGATTACTGTGTATACATATGATGATAGTGTGTATACATTACAAACTTGGCATAAATACCATGATAAGAAATTAGATAAGGCAATTATTACTTATCACTCTCATTCAACAGTATATTGAAAAGATAGCGTTTTCTTCTGTTCTTTTCTCAATACGTATTTCAATGTTTATAACCGTAAAATAGTACATGAAAATTCAAATTTTTACAAACTTCAAAACGCTACAGAATATTTACTACTGAATATTAATAAGATATTTTTTTACTAAAATTTTTCTTAAATTCTACTCTACAAAATAGCTATCTTAGATTTTTTTTTTACATTTTATTTAAAATTTAAAAATAATTAATATTTTTAATAAAATGTAAAAAAATTAATTATTGAGATATAGCTATAGACCTAACGTATAACTATTATTAAAAAAAAAAATCAACTAAAAATATTAACTGGATCAAAAGTTATTTAAGTTGTTAGTGAGTGATGGGCCACCCTGTATATATATACAAATAGATAAAAAATAAATAGATACTTTTGTCACGTTACAAAATCATTATTTAAAGAAATATGGATGTATATTTAATCAATTTTTTCAATTTTTTTTACTTAAAACTGCCATAACTTTTTCAAAAATGAACATATCAATATAATTTTTTTTTTATAGATGCTTGATGTCTTTACCTATCATTTGGTATATTTTTTTTATAAATTTGACCCTAGACCTGTCCACAAGGGAGGATTTAAAATGACAACTTTTTCACAAAAAATGAACTTTTTCAACTTAAATTTTGAAAATATTCCGGAAGGTCTGACATTTTTATATATATCTTAAATTAAAGCTAATGTAATGTGCTTTATTATGGAAAATACAAATTTCGGACTTTATTTTGTCTTCATTGTGAAAATGGTTACCAAATGCTATTATTGTATGAAAATTCTCGATTTTAATAAGGAACTAGCAGATCATATAGCTTTTGGAATAATACACCAATTTTTTAAAATTAAACACTATCTAAAGATTTGCATCGAAGCGTTTTTTTTGATAGTGATTTTAATCACTGTCAGATATCATTATACTTGATCCAACTATGTCGCGACCCCCCCTGTGCTGGGTTTTTTGTGTCTGTCACTACTTTTTCTCAGCTCTCACTGGACGACTTTCCTAACGATACGTCAAAAGATCACAAATCGTATCTAGTTGAAGACATTACCCTCAAAATTGAAAATTTTGACCTCGTTCCCCGTAAATGGTGAAAATTCCCCAAAAAATTACGAGTCAACTAATTGGTTTTTTATGACGTCGATATTCACAGGTACACAGAATTTATTATCAATGGTATTAGGCACATTGTTGTGAGTTTATAAATATACTAACTAGCAATACAAAAAGTATATCTATTGATAGTCATAATTGACAATAAACACTCAGTGGCTGTGACAGGGACGTCATAAAAAACCAATTAACTACTTATATTTGTAATCCCTTGTATATTAACTCACAAATTTGAAACTTAAAATGTTTATATCTTATAAATTAATAAAGTTATATTAAAAATTCAAATGCTATTTACTATTAAATTAAAACTCAAACATATTATAAAATTCAAAATATATTTTCCCATTAAAAAAAATAAAGTTGACACCATTTACAAGGCATAATGGATGAACTTAAAAAGTATTACATAGTTAATAATTCAAGAATAATGTGTAACTAAAGATAACCAAAAAAAAGAAAGTTTAAATTATATTTATTCTGTATTTAATTGAGTGGGTTATGATAAAAAAATCATTCTGTATACGTACCTAATATTGGCTTTTTTTGACCTGCAGCAAAAACGTGGTTGGCGCCTTACATAACGACTAGCTATGATAGAAAAATTTGCCACCACCTAGGCAACGTATCACACCTATCAGATATGATCATCGGACCATTGGTGGAATTTAATTTTAAGTTAATTAATAATTTTATTTGGATTAATATGTCATTAAATATAAATTTTTATAACACCTCGTGTTGTGGTTTATTAACTACAACTACAATAATTGAAATTATATTTTGTTTATATAGAAAACATACCGTGGCCCATGTCTAAATTAAGGAACGGAAATAAAATACAGGCGAGTACATAAGCTACTCGTGAAATAAAAATAAATATTACAGATTAAAAGAAAATTTAATTAAATTGTTGATAAAGAAAATTAAGTTAAACATAAACAAAAATACGAGTGTATCAAAAACCATGTTTAAAAAGAAAGGCGAACAACAAAAATAAAATGAAATATTTAAACAAAATAAGCAATGATCAGGTAAATAAAATAAGCTGAAAAAAAGAATGTCTTCAACTATATAATTTATATTACTTCAAATTTTAGTGCCGCAATTAAAATACTACTTTAGAGTACGTGCACCCAGTGTCCCCCTAGATACAGTCCTGATAACATGTATGTAATAATATATAAATATAAAGTTTTATTTTATGTGGCTTTTCTTTTCTTCAAAAAATTATAAGTAAATTTAAAATAATATATAAACATATAATATTTATATTAATAAAAAATTTCTTGTATAAAAATTCATTTAAATATTCTGATTTTTGTGATTTTTACACGAACTTTTTTCTTTTAATTTAGTGTCAGTTTACACATAGATGACAAGTCAAGAGATCATTATTTTTCAAAATGAAACACATTACCTGACCTTTAATTTAAAACATATTCAATGGGTTTCCGGAATATTTTCGAAAGTAAAATTTAAATATATCTACTTTTTATTCGCATGTTTCAAGTTTGGAACCCCTTGAATATGGGGAAGGGGTCAGATTATCAAAAAAAAGTTAATTGTAAAAATTTTAAATTTAAAGGGTATATTTACAATAATAATAAAAAATAATTTGTGTTGATGAATACATTTTTTTAAATGTTAGTGTAATATAATGTTATAATTTAAAATAAAAATATGTTAAAAGGTTGTTTGTAAGTATGTATGGGTAATTTGACCAAGGTTGGATATGTTTGGGGATTTGGTCGTGAGCAACGAGGTTCTATCGAGGCTGTAGAGTCCGAGGGTTTAGAACAACGAAGACAAATAGATATAAAAATAATAAACGCAATACTTCTTTGCTGAGATGTAATAAAGTACATTCTGGTTGGTATCTAATAATATGCACAATGGCAACGGAACGGCAAGCCAGTTCACGGATACCATGTAACGTGATTATGTACAAGAACTTAACCAACCAGTCTAGTATAATATTCTACAATGTTAATATGATGAATGATCTATTGCTTTGTCGTTCTGTACTCAGAACTACTAGAAAAAAAAGTTATAAAAATGTTGAAATTTTGAACGATTTAAAAATCGTAATTTTTCTGTAGATTTTCCTCATTTACGGAAAACAAGAGATTTTTTTAATGTAATGTCTTCATTAAGATATAATTTATGATCTTTTGACATATCTTTGAAAAAAGTCGGTCCAGTAGGAGCTAAAAATGTGGTGACATACACAAAAAAACATATCATAGTAAAACTAAAACCTTCCTTCTTCGAACAAAAGCTAAAAGTTAAATAATAGATAAATTCTTGCAAAATAATTGGCTTTAACAAATACTAATAAGTTATAATAACCCTTAAAAAATATAAAACAATTGTCTTAATTCTAAGCTATACTGTCAACAGGCGCGCTATTAAAAGCATGCGCTTGAATTTAGACATGGAAGAGCATGAATGTTCGTGTAATACATTCTTCTATATCGTATGATCCAAAGAAGTCCATTCGTCAGATTCTTGTAAATCAACAACTTACGTAAGTAAATTAGTTTTTTTTTTTTTAAATGTATACTATACTCATATATTAAGGGCATTAATTCAAGTTTCACATTAATATGCAATTATTTCACTTATTTATAACAGTTACAAGTTTCTTTATGCAGTGAACATAAATACACTTTTTTTCATAATTAGTGAAATTATGCTGTACATCATTTTTTAAATACTAATGAAATACTATTATATATCAGTGTCGTTACGATTTAAACACTGCTTGTTTAAAACACCAAAAATGTCAAAACTTATATTGGTCTTTTGGGACGTTTTAAATTGTTTTTATATGTTTTAAACAGATTTTTTTTAAACACGTTTTTTAACATCCCTGGTATAGATATGAATTTTCAAATAAAAAAATTTTGTTTGTTTTTTTCCATTACAAATTAATTACTACGTAATCAAGCTTAATTATAATACTAATTAATTTCATCTATCTTTATAATAAATTAAGAAATAAAACAATTTATAAAAAAAATTTTAATACATAAATTTATTATAATTGTTATGTCGTTATTTTTAAAAATATTACAAACATGATAATTGAAATCTCCGAAAGGGTCTTTTTCATGTTAAAATTTTCCATAAATAAATATATGGATAACTATTTTAAATTATTTAATTTTACAGGACTTATTTAATAAATAAGTTTACCAAATACAAATATCACATTTAGTCCTATTTTATATAAGATAAATAATATTTTATTAAATTTCATGTACATTAATACGAAATATTCATTAATAATACACATTAATGTTAATTACCAAAATAGTTTTTAGAATATGGTTAATAACAAATTTGATTATAGTTTAAGCAAAACAAATTTCTTTATAACAATGTTAAATATAAATTTTAATTTATAAGTCGTTTTATTATAACTAACGTCAATATTTTATTTAATATTTAATATTTTATACGAAAGACATTAATTACCTAACAAAAGTGTTGATATAAAATTTGTTTGTTTTATTATTTTAAGTCTAATGATAAATATTAACAAATAAATTGATTCGTCATAAATTACTAATTTTATGCAACTTGGTTATCTGAGAATTTCTTAATTTTCAGAAAATTTTCCAATAAAAACAAGTATTTTCATGGATATGTTTCATGTACAAATCAATATAATATATACCTGAGATATAAAGTCATGAACTTAAAACTATTGATTATCTGTATAGTATTACACATTTGTTTCTTTTATGGTTTCTTAGTTGTATTTAAAAAAGTTTCAAGTTTCACAATTATTTTAATTTTTTTTTTAATGCAACATAATAAAAAAATCGATTATAATGATAACTAAAATAAATTTTGCAGTTCTTAATATCACGTAAATATTAAAATCGGGTTTAAAAATAACTTACTGAATACTTGAAACAAATTCTTATTTTTTTATTCAGTATAAATTTATTGTAATAGAATAGAAAAAATCGGCCCCTAACCAGCACTATTCAAATAAACTCTGAGCAATTGTAAAAAATATTTAATTGTACCTTCAGTACATTTTCTTTTAATTTTCAAGCAAAATTCATAATATATTGTAACTAAGGGCCATAGCAATCGAATTTTTAGATAAATAAAAAAAAACTTAGATTTTTATAAAAAAAAAAGCATATCAAAAGAAAAAAATATTATTACTTGTATACCTTATTAAAATTCCATTTTCCTTTTTAAATATTTTTACATATCAATTTTTATTTTTATTTAATTACTCGATAAACCAACTAAAAATTGTACATCACATCCAAATTTTCTTAAGAAAACAAAACGTCGCTACCTCTTAATTAGAGAATACATACAGGGTAAATCACAAAAATATTATAAAACCAAAAACTTTTAATCCAATTATTATTTTGCTGACATTTTTTTTTTTTTTAATAACCTTCATTAATGTTTAGATTTTCAAAAATATGTACAACCTGATTGGTTTACCATAAACCGTTCGATTATTTGCAAAATAAATACAATATTGGAAAAAATGTTTGATTTCTTTTAGGTGCATATATTTCTTGATTTATCAACTAATAATTATTTTTTAGAATCATCCCATATAACTTAAAAGTATATCAACTTTAATTTTTTTAAAGGGCATCATATGTATTAAACTAGCAAATTAAAGAGAAAATAACTTAATTCAGAAAATGACTGGTCAATAACAGCTTTGAACAAGTATTTAAGCATTTATTAACAATTTAAAGAAAAAACTGGTGGTAATGAGTGGGTGCTGCTATTTTTATTACTAGTCATTTGTGGACCGTACTTTTCGTCCCCCTAGATATAAAAATGAGAATAATATACAAAGTACTGATCAAAGTATATGTCATCGGTAATGTAAATGTCTAAGTTATTAGACATTTTATAAATAAATATTATTTCGCCATGATTCGTTTATTTTCAAGTATGTTATTTCAATATAGAATGAAAACAAATAAAAAGTAAATTTTAGAATTTAATACCTCCAGAAAGATGTTGAAAATCCGCCAATGATTCAAATAAAATTTATGTTATTAATATGGTCTTCTAGTTAAAGTGGATTTATGAAAAAATTGTACATATTTATTTCATTGGCAAATAATCTATTGGTAATAATTTAATGTCAGCGCTGCTGTTAGAGTGTATATGATATCATACTAAGGGTTTCAAAGCTATTACATAACTTGTTTCTCCATACAAACAGTTGAACTTATGCCTGTCTATATTATTTGCGTAACCACCTGCTATACTGTCAGAGTTTAAAGACTAAAAAAAATCATTAAAGTAAGCAAAAAAGAAAATGAATCATAATATAATATTGGTTGACAAAATCATTGAACAAACAATTAGTTAAGTTGTTTTCTTATTTCATAAAATGTCTTTAGAAAACAATTTCAACGTCATTTAATAAATAAGAATCATAAATAGTAATTGAATGTTATTTGTCATTATACCTTTTTATATATGTTTCATTATCAGATTTTATTGACTAGGTACCAGGTGAAGGTACCAACTCGCACTTAACAAATTAACATCGTTTGTCTAAAACTAATCTTAGAAGTGTTTTTACTAAACGACGGAACATCATCGTTTGTAATTTAAAAAACCCTTAACTATACTTGTTGGCTCATTTAATAGTCTCTTAAAATACTATACATTATATTACTATTGATATTTTAATTGTCATGATATTTTTCATTTATTTAATCGACACACGTTATAATTCACTCTATTATACAAAAAATTGCTTGATATTGTAATTAAAATTATGCTTAGTTTCGATGCGAAGCTAAAATGGTATTGATCTTACTATGATGTGTTTTTTTTTATCTGCCCATTAAAATTTTCAGTTCTCATTAAATTAAATTGGTAAAAAACTCCCTTATTTGTAATATTTTAAGATATCTCAAAACTAGGTAACTGTAAAAAATTTAAATTCAGATTCTACAATTTAAAATTACCATAACTTTTTAACAAATAGTCATATCTAAATGAGAACTATATTAGCAATTTTAGAAACCATACCTTTTTTGCAATATGTTTTTTATGTAAATCTAATTTTAAATATAATTACAAGAAGGGTTTGAACGAAACTACCCCTACTTAATCAATATTTTTTTATCAACTAAATATTTAAAAATCTTTTGGAACGTCTGACAAATTTTAACATTAAATTAAAACTTTTAAAGTGGATTATAATATAAAAAAAAAAAATTACTATGTGAAATAGTCTGTCAAAGTAAATAATTTCAACATTATTTCCAAAAACTTTCTTGTTTTTAATTTTTGAAGATGCTTCTCGACATCTGACATATTAAAATCTATATATAATTAAAGCTTATTTAATATATTATTCTATTAAAAATAAAATGTTCTGTTGAATTTTTTTCTATAAATAAAGAAACCTCTAAAATTGATAAATAAATAAATAAATGTAAATTTTGGTGGATATAATAAATTAATTTCCAATTTGCATCAAAAGGTTTTACGACAATAATTTTAATCACTGTCAGATATCAACCAATAGTAAACTAAATAATTTTTCATCTCCACTTTGCTTCCATTTTACGAATTTCCGAATTCTTCAAAGACAATTTTTGCCTTTGAATTAATTTGAAGTATAACATTGAAATTCGGTAGATATATTTAGAACATTTACTAAAAACCTCACTACGCAGTTGACTTTAAAAAAAAAAACAAATTCGTCATCTTTTTTTGCATCTAGGAAACCATGATTTTTCAGTGAGGACAAATTATATAAATTTTGAAATGGTTAAAAAAAAAAAATTGATTTTATAAATTTTTATAGTGGCACCCATGAATTGATATTAATGCTCAAAAAATTATTTGTGTAAAATTTGAGACTAATATGATAAGGTTATCCCGTGGCGCGAGACCTCTAAAGTTGAGCAATATAGTTTTAAAAAGAAGTTGATTTTTTCAAAACAAGTTTTATGATTAACTTATAGATACATTATGAGCCAAGTTATTGAAATATCGCATCATTTTGTTTCTTTTAGAGCCTTCAACTTCTACATTTATAAAAAATTTAATTTTTAATTTTTCGATAAAATACATCGAAGACAAATTGACAACGCAATTTTTTAAATTAAATCACATTGCATATGCTTTAGTTCAATATCTTTAAAAAGGGGATCAAGATTTTCAGAACATTGCCATAAAAGAAAAAAAATTGATCTATAGTTATATTCAAACTTTAATTTAACTTATGTTATTAATCAAAAATTATCTAGTTATAAATATCGTAACAGATTTTTATTAGTGAAAATATCCCGAAAAATGACAATTGTTGAAAATTATGATATTTGAAAATATGAGAAAAATAATAGTTTTACTTATTATTATACGGAGTGGATTTTTTATCATAACCCACTCAATTAAATACAGAATAAATATAATTTAAACATTCTTTTTTTTGGTTATCTTTAGTTATACATTATTCTTGAATTATTAACTATGTAATACTTTTTAAGTTCATTCCTTATG